TTTTAATTGCCGTGCCAGTTTTTATGTATTTGTGGCCACCTGCAGGCTCCGTGTGTTTGGTGTTGTCGAGGCAGAGCCTCAGTCTAATTGAGCAGACATCAGACTTTGATTAATATTCGTTGATGAAGGTGCCTTGCCAGGCAGGCCGGCTGAAGATACAGAGATTGAAGAACTGCTCAAGACAACATCCAGGAACATCTTCATCCCCCGATGCCCTCCCTTGCGAGGCCTACCCCACCACACTCCTTTCTCCTGTACTCACAGGAAAGGATTCAGTGCCCCACTGGTTCACTGTTGATTACACCATTGTCTGCTCAGACTGCTGAGTCTGCTCCAAGCCTGCCACCTCTTAATATAGAATTTACCTGCAGACAGATGTGAGAAAAGACTTGCAGATAAGCTCAACTATATCTGTTCTGTGGGAACATTACCAGAATGTATTGGACGAACAGTCGCATGGAAAAGAGTTAGGCCTTTATCATGGTTTCATCATCAGCTGGTATGAGTATTGCTGTTAACCTGTTAAGCCCCAAGCCTGTTTTTCAGGTCTCAGGCTCGAATATGAGCCCTATTGTACTTTTTTGAGTTTTTCCATTTCCTGTGTTATATAGGTTTCCATATTGTACGTGATAGGCTGAGGGGCGGGACATCTTTGAGCGGATGACCAATGGGTGAAAACAGGTGCAGCACTTAGGGTTAGGGTTAGGGTTACACCCCATTGAGGCTATTAAGAGTTACCAGTTTTTCTGATTTGCATGGTTTTTGAGCAGTGGCCAAACCAAACACGTCATTCCATTTGCAATAAATCTTTGTTTTGCACTACTTATCAAAATAAAAGTCAAAATCAGAACGGATTTGTATATTGTAAATCTGGTGAGAAATATCCCGTGAAAGACATGGATTAAATCCTATATTTTTATTTTGACATAGTTATCCACTTGAGTCAAATATTCTCCCGAAGGAACACACATCACTTGATCTTCCACTATTTATTTACGAGCATCTTCTGCTTTTCCAACAATACATAAACAAATCATATTGTTTACTCAAAAGGGCCCTTGAGATGCTTCACTTCGTCTTCAAGAGGGTTCTGGGAAAACATTGTTTCATAAATGATACTTCACTGCTGATTGTGCATGTCTGAAAACACAAGAAGTGACGATGATTAATCAGCGATGTCTAGTTAGAAACAGGCCGCTTGTCTTAACTACAGTGCTTGTACAGTCTTTTCAAATAAGGAAATGTGATGCTATTACGCTTAAAAAATGCAGGACAAAAGTTTATCTCGTTTACAAATGTACCTGCGCTGTATCAAGTATGAAGGAACCATACAAAATACAGGAAACGGCTTATTTAGTGTTGGACACAAACTTAATTTGACCTCTGTGTGAGAAACCGACCCTTTAGCGGTTGGATTTTCAGGGAAAGAATCGACCACGAGAGGAGGTAGAGTTGCAAACCATGGTGACTTTATTTCAAAAACACCACAAAAGAACAGTAGCCAGCCTGTAGGTGTTCACCCCTCTCTGTACAGGTTCACCGCTCTGTCTCTTACTGAAGACTGGCTCATTTGTAGAGGTTCTTCAGATGACTTGATTGGGAGAAACCATTCACAGGCACACTTAATAAATTCACGCGTCATTATAATTATTATAAAGACGATCCATAATATCATTTACATAGCATTATTAGTTGTTTATAGCCATCTGTTAAATGAACCCAAGAACAACATTATAACTGTCCGAATAAATATAACTACATTCCCAACTAAGACGGAAACCCCTGCGCCTATCACGCCACTTGGTTCGTCCTGGAACCTTCTTTGTCAGTGTTTGTTTCCCCCAAGGACCTTTTGGCCGAACACACTGTAGCGGACACCGGACGAGACAGCATGGGTAAGTGATAGATTTAAACTTTGCTCAGTGTACACTTATACAATTAATGCAACTTAACGTCATGATATATACACACTCAAACATATTATTTGCACACAATGATTAATCTCAACCGCTGTCATTCTTACACAATCATAAACACTTTCGGCGCTCTCGCCAACTCCCCTCTCTTTTCAGGTGGAGCCAAGGACCCGACCAGCATCTGCCAGACAACATTCCAATTAATACGGTTTAATCATTTAATAAATACTACATCAATAACTAGTGCAAACTGTTCACTACTAAAGTGCTGGGTGACATTATTTCTGTTCAAAGGGAAGTTGTTTCATAAAGTGCAAACCCACATGTGCAATATTACAAGGCCCCAAAGCCGCCAGTCCATAGTAACAAAGTTAACTTCGTTACACTGTTCAAAGTTGATATTTTGTTCCTTAAAATATTAAATCTTTAAAAACATGCTGGTGTGGAGCCGATGAATGGGAGTCGGAGGCGGTGTGTTCAGTATGGAACTCCACACTTTATTTTCCATTTGTTACAGAAAAGTAGGAACATCTGCTACCTGCTACTGTCAAGCTAGAATGAATACAACAACACGGTACACTCTCTAACAGGTCCGTGGTGCAACACACAATATATACAACAGAGAATTNTACCAATTGGACACCGGGACTTTTCGAGATGTAGTTTGTCGAGATGCAGTTTTACATTTAGACTACAATGTATTACACCACAATGGTACCGTTGCGTAGGAAGCGGTATTTTGTGCTACAGCGACATTGAAGTTAACTGTTACTAGGCTAGCAGGGGCCGGGTACGGAGTTGTCGAGATGCAGTTTAGGCTGTAGAGGTGGTATACGACAAAGGTACCTTTGCGTAGGGAGCGGTTTTGTGCTACAACAGCATTACGGATACTTTTCCCAGTTTTGTCGTGGTCTGAAGTCTATTACCAATTACAGGTCGGGAGTTGTACAGACACGGTCAACACTCAAAAGGAGTTTTCGACCAACGGTACCGTTGTGTAGGGAGCGGTATTTTTTGCCTATTAACGATATTTGAGGATACTTTTAACCAGTTTTTCACGAGTTTGAAGCACGATTGTCAGGTCGGCACTTCTGTATATGCACCTGTCAAAACTCTAAAGAAGTTTTACGGCAACCGGTACCGTTGTGTTACGAGAGTGGTACTTTGGCGTGCGCAAAAGAGTATTAAGTCACTTTTACCGAGGTTTGACCGGGTCCAAACCATTGCTACCGTGCGGTAGTTGTGTAGCATTCCGCATAATAACCCCAAAGTAGGTTTACCGGCAACGGTACCACTGTCTAGTGAGTGGTAGTTCAATCCATCAAGGGTTTTCAACCGTCAAATTTTATATAGACGACGAAAAGGGTTCGGAAAAAATGAAATAAAAGAGAAGAATTATTGTGTAAGTAGACGTAGATGTAATGTAAAATATAACATTGAGGAAGTCGATGAAAGACGATTATTTTGGTAAGGTGTGATAATTGAATAAGTCGATAAAGTCCCTGTAACTCCGGATATGACAACAAATATGGGAAAAATTTGTAAAGAAAAATTATAATTCGAAGAAGAGTAAAAAAAAAGGATGAGGAAAGGAAAATTGTAAAAGTGAAAGTCACAAAGTTGTTTAATTAACCTTACGTAAACTCGACATGTTAAAAACTAAGGTTTAGTAAAGTGAAAAGACGTAAAAAGCCGATTCAAAGTCGTTGTGTGAATGAAACGAAAAACATTCGTTGATGTCTCTGGTAAAGTTTATTATTTTATAAGTCGAAAAAGCGTAAAAGCGGTTGTTTACATGTGGTCAGAATGTCGTAAGTTGTGTGTAAACAGTCGTCCTTTACCGTCCAAAAGATCAAGGTAGGCCACAAGACAAAATACACCGACAAGTAGACAAGTAACCAAACAACCCCTACCCACACCTTTGGGGTAATGTTAGAACAACGCGATATCCTTAAACTGTCCCCGAAAGGGGAAAAAAAACAGTATCAACCGCTTTTTCCATTGGCAATAGATTGTACAAGTTGGCACCGGGACATGTGAGCTGACCCTACCAACATTGTCGGGAACCTTCACGTGACATAAATTTATGTAAAAGGTTGGATCAATGACATAAAGTAATTCGTGTGAATTTTGTAATAAGTCCATCAACTGTATAACTCTTACATGATATCTGCATTGTTTTCACCCGAGTAGGAGTCACATTTACAAAAAAGATGAGATGACCCTTTGGATTTCTTCACAATGTTGACAGAGGGGAATGGTTTTCATTGGTCATGGGTCTAAGCCAGGTCTAAGTCTTAAGTTCCTTATCATAACACAAAGTAAATTAATAACATGTAATTTCACAATAGGTTTCGACCGCATTTCCACGTCGATCCACAACTTTACTGAACGATATGACCGTCCCCACGAACACGTAAAGAGGTCCACCCGCTGAATTCAGACTAACATTGTAGGGGGTGAAGTAGGTGTGAGATCAATCTGCATTATATTCTGATTTATGTACATCACCCTATTTTCATGTGTGTAAGTGGAGACTCGACAACCACGTCTCCATTAGTAATAGTCGTAGTAAACGGTAGGAGTTGGTAGTAGAGGTAGTCTAGAAGTCCGAGAGGGCGAAGTTGAGGGAACGTAAAATCATTTTAGAGTTTGAGTTTCAATGTAAGACTTATGATGCAGATATGAACCTAATTGTAGGGTTTTTCACACTGAAGTCTACTTAAGTAAAAGTTCTCTGTTGTCATCGTCACTAGTCATACTTCACATCAAGTTTATGATCGGCCCTGCGTACTACAGGTGGCAAACCTGTTAAATACGTAATACTATTCAGAGGAATCGAGAGCGACAGCGAGCGCAAGTGGGTTGTAAACATATGGAAGGTTCATTCCAACAAAGGATATCTCTCCTAACCATTCACGGAACTAGTTTGGTGGAGTTCTGAGCATGTCAGTTGGAGTTATGACATCATCGTGTTCCATGACACAGGTGTTTATGTTTGAGCTAACGACGTTATGAAACACCTGTGCTTGAGCCCAGAGATCAAAGGTTTCTGTTCCGGCTCCAGTTCCGGCTCAAGCAGCCATGGTTCCGGCTCTCGTTCCGGCCCACGCAGCCATGGTCACGGCTCCAGTTTCGGCTCCAGTACTGGCTCTTCGGACAACGCCCCCGTATCCTGTCGGCCAACTCCAGGTCCCCCGTCTCCTGTCGGCCGAATCAAGTCCCTTCTCAAGTCCCTTCTCAAGTCCCCTCTCCGTCGGTGCTCCCGCCGACTCATGTCCCTTCTTCAACGGGGGTTCCGCCTTCTCAAGTCCCGACTCAGGTCCCGATTCATGTCCCTTTTCCATTGGCGGTCCAGCCGACACCTGTTTCGTCGGGGGTCCTGCCAACTCCATGTCCTGTTTCGTTGGGGGTTCTGCTGCCAACAGCGACCCTTTAGCGGTGGGATTTTCAGGAAAATAATCGACCACGAGAGGAGGTAAAATTGCGAACCATGGTGACTTTATTCCAAAAACACAACAAGAGAACAGTATCCAGCATGTAGGTGTTCACCACTCCCTGTACATGTTCACCACTCCCCTCTGACTGAAGACTGGCTCATTTTATAGAGGTTCTTCAGAGGATTTGATTGGGAGAAACCATTCACAGGTACACTTAATAAATACATGTCATCATAATGATTATAAAGAATATCCATAATATTATTTACATGGCATTATCAATTGTCTACAGCCATCTGTTAATTGAACCCAAAACAAACATGATAACTGACCAGAATAAATATAAATACATTCCCAACTAAAACAGAAACCCCTACGCCTATCTCGCCACTTGGTTCGTCCCGGAACCTTCTTTGGTCAGTGTTTGTTTCACCCGAGGACCTTTTGGCCAAACACACTGGAGCGGACACCGGACGAGACAGCATGGGTAAGCAATGGACGTTAACTTTACACAGTGTTCACTTATACAATTAATGCAACTTAACGTCATGATATACACGCGCTCAAACATATTATTTGCACACAATGATTAATCTCAACCGCTGTCATTCTTATACAATCATAAACACTTTCGGAGCTGCCAGACGACATTCCAATTAATACGGTTTAATCATTTAATAAATACAACATCAATAACTAGTATAAATTATATAAAAATGTGCAAATATGCGATGCCAAACTGTACTGTGCAAATCACGCTAATAAAGTGCAAACTGTTCACTAAAGTGCTGAGTGACATTATTACTGTGCAAAATGAAGTTGTTATATAAAGTGCAAACCCACATGTGAAATATTACAAGGGCCCAAAGCCGTCAGTCCATAGTAAAGAAGTTACCTTCGTTACGCTCTGCCAAAAAAGTAAGAGTTAGAGTTAGGGTCATGGCCAATAATCAACTGTAGTTCTTTAAGATATTTATGTTTACTGGTATTGTTAACATGTAATTAAAGAAGAAATCCGTATTCAAACCCCATTATTAAATCCTTATGAGCAGTTATCATGGTTTGATGTAATGTTGCTCATTGCCATTCTGGTAGTCATGCTGCAAGAATAACATTATTAATTGTAATTCCTTTTAATATGACACAGCGAGCCTCTCTTTAGAAAGTGATTCCAGAGGGACTTGGCTAAGCTGTCTGTGAGCATGTATGATGATTTATGGATGTGTGTGCGGTGGTGTGCGCATTAATGCATGTGTACATATCATAGCTATCTTCATCACCCTGTGTGTGTGCACTTTACGAGTCTTATCGTATAATTAAGTGGCATTTAATAGACTGTTCTTAAACCCAGTGATGTCTCCACAAACAGGATAGGAGAGGCTTTACACTATATAATCAGTTAAATTGTCAGTGGATATTAACATTATCTGCCCTTCTCCGTAATGTGATTTCTCTATTATGTTTTAAATTTCATTAAATGGCAATATCATAGCTAGAATAATTAAGCAAAGAGATCCTGGAACACTAGGATTTGTGACAGCCGATTAAAAAAAAAAACATTTTTAAAGGGGTGTTTCCTCTTTAAAGAAAGTAAACATAACGCTGTGCCACATCGCTCTCTATGGGGAGGGAACAGCAGAGAATAGCGACGATGAAGACAGATTGTGTTTGATGGACGGATGAAAGGAGGGTAGAACAGCCGTGATGAGGACAGCTGAAGATGGAAGAAAGGTCACGGACAGACAAGAAACTGCGGCAATAATGACTGGGTGATGACAGACTGGCTGATAACAGAGATTGGAGGGAAGAAGGGATGGATGTAAGGCCGAGACAGAAATATAAGGACGGAGGAAAGGAGGTGTGAGAAGGAAGCAGAGGGAGAAAGGCAATGCATGTGAGATGAAGAGGATTAAGGGATTGCACACATCAAGGAAGGGAAGAAAGATGTGTGGGGGAAGAAGAATGAGTGATTGAAGATGGGAGGAGGCAAAAGAGGGGGACAACAGAGGAAGGGATGGCGGGCAGGAAGAGGCCTGCTGGAGCTAGATAGTAGGAGGAAAACGTGGAGGACTTGAGGATATATCTCAGGTTTAATTCTCCTTATAGGCGCCTTGAAAATGGCCCCGGAGGGACCAATCGCACAAACATTATGTGGGGAGATTCACACAGGTCGGAGCGCAGACGTCAGGCCAATGGATCATGCTTCACTAGCTCCCTCTCCGACAGAACTATAAGGAAGCATGGCAGCAGCGTTCAAGCCAATTAGAGGAGCTCTGAGCCAGTTTTTAGTGTGAGATGAAACTGAGCTCTGCCTCTGCTGGCAGATTGGTTGATGGATTGCAGACGACACACACACACACACACATCACACTCAACGTGAAGTGAGAAGGATAGTGAGTCTCCATCTGGACTGTCCGTCGCTGTCTTTCGTCTCCTTTCCTCGCTTCATCTTTTTTGCCTCTGTGCACACAGGGGTGTCTCCGTCCAAATTTGGCTGGAGCTTGGCTTCGCTCCCCGTTTAATAAAACCAAAGAGAGGAGAACTGCAGGATGGTTGGATGGGTGCGTGTGTGTGTGTGTGTGTGTGTGTGTGTGTGTGTGGGCGGGTGTGCGGGTGTGCGAGACATCATCGGGCTTTAATATGTGCTCTTCCTCTCATATCATTGCTTGTTTTAATATGAATAGCTACTTGTGGAAGGGAATGAATTCATAGCTGCACGCGGAGCACTATGAGCGTTATTGGCTGCAGCCCTGAGTGGCAGGCTCCATGTGTGCAGCTTTGCAGAGGGTATAATAATAAACCCCTGCGAGAAGTAGCAAATAATAACAACAGGTATGAAAGTACATCATATCATAACCTAGCCTCTCCGATCCACATCCTTGGAGCATTTTTGCATTCTCCTCTCAATTTTTCCGCAACCTCTGCCTCTTCTCGCTTATTCTTTTTTCATTCACCCTAACAAGCATGCATTTTCATCATGTCGACCCTCTTAAGATACCTCTCCATCCCAAGGGTGAGCACCGTGCTTATCTGCCCTCTTTCAGTCATTGTTATCTATTCTTTCTCCATTGCTCGTCCCTCTGACAACTACAAAAGGCAACATGCAGCAACTGCCTCAACTCCAATACTCCACTTTCACAGCCTAAATATATCATTCCCGGTTGGATTGTTGATGTATTTTTAAAGATTCCTGTCGCTCCAGCTGTGCTCACTGTGGTGAACATCCGCTGAAACCACCAAGATATATTCAGCTGTTTTAGATATATTACAGCTGTGTTCCTGAAATGTGAGCCAGCCCAGTATTTTCATTGACTCTTCTTGAGTATTTGCCAAATTGATAATCGATATTTTCCCTGCTTGCTGGACCACTACTGCCTAATGATTCTAAAATAACATGAGTTCTGGTTACCTTGTTCATTAACACATTTGGTGAGAAGAAAGAGTTCAGTTACATATTCTTTTCCTCCTGTCTTATAATTATACATTTTCTTTCATCAATCTGCTTTCTGCAGTACTTGAGCTGTGAAGCTAGCAGCTAGCTAACATGCTATCACGTTTGTTACGTGACAGGATAATACTTTGTGAGACCAAATCTGAAATGTGTCTTGCAACACAGCAGCTCTATTTGCAACAAGGACACATATCTAAGATTAGAAACAGGCAAACTTTAAACATAACATTACAACCACTGAAGAAAACATGTTCAAGACCCTCTCACATAAGTATTTTGAAAAGCACTAATCTGCCCATGGAGGACTCTAAACTTACCTGGAAGAGAGCATGGATGCTTTGGGTAATTTATAAAATATGGGATAGTGGTGTGCTCTGCCTCTTGTGGAAAAAATGTTGATATACAACAACAAATACCAAAAAAGTCCTGATGGATTAAGAAAAAAACAAAACAGTTTATTTGTACCTGTTTCTTAAGTCCTAAACCTGACAAAACAAATCATTTAGATAAGTGGTAGAAAATGTGTCAATAGTTTTTTTTGTTCCCATTGTTTTGTATATATTTCATTTTCTTTCAAACAAAATACTTTTGTTTATGCATTTTTTTTATTTTTGAATGTCAAGTACCTTTTAAAGCATAGCCACTGTAAGAGTTTATCAGTCATTGATCGAACAAAAAGAAAAGCAGGGATGGATTGTTTTTGTTTACCGTCTGTCATTGGCTCGAGGTGCTTTAATAATGTAAGAAAGGAAGCTGTGAACCTGAGGGCCATGCATTTTACATTTCTTCATACTTTAATTAAGGCAGTGACTTCATAGGGACACACAAAAGAGGGCTCATATCTGCACACCCACGCTAAGAAAAAAATATGCATGTATTCACACACACACACACACACACACACCTTTGACAGCATAATAATTGCGCCTACATCTCGTGAATCTGGGTCACAGGAACACAGAGTACACATCCTTTGATATGTCATTAGGATTCTAGATTTCCTCGAATGCAGCGCTATTCATGATGGAAATGTTAGGTTGGCCACGTCATACCAGGAGAATAATTTGGCAACATGTAATGGTTATTATCAGCTTGCAAAGGATTCTAGATGCAGTACAATGTTCACGTTGTACCCAAATCCCCCAGAATGCCTATTACTTTTTACAGTTTTTAATCTACATTCATTAAGAGATGCTAACAAGTGTCTTTTTATTCCAACCAACCCTCATCCAGTGTAATCAGCAGCATTTTAACCTGCACCATCAAGGTACTGATTACACACACACACACACACACACACACACACACACACACACACACACACACACACACACACACACACACACACACACACACACTCTATAGCCTATTCATCTTATCTCTTGCTTCTTTCTTCCTGTTGTAATCAAACATCTTCGTTCATAATTGAAGTAGCGGTGGCGAATAAATATGAGGGAATTGAGACAAAGTCCATCGGGTTTCATTGTTATTATGAGTCCTGAGGAATTGTGTATGTGTATGTGTGTGTGTGTTTGTGTTGGTATGTGTGT